TTTCATTTTAAAACTTTGTTTTAGTTACGAGGAGAAAATGTAAATTTTATTATTAAGTACCTAAAGAAACACAATTTAAACTCTTCACAGATATATAAAAATTTGTTACGAATGTACGTTGTCAAAATATATGCTGTAGGCAGTGAAAGACCGTACATAATAAATACAAATAAATGTTTTACCGCTACAGAGTATTCATTACGGAAAAAAATGTTGGTTTCAAAAATAACGTGATGAAGCTTCGTGCTTTTCTTGTGAAGGAAACTGGGCAAATAAAGTAATATATTTTCATTATTTCATTATCCGATGTCATTGGTAGTCCAATGGTAGCGAAATCGCTTAGAAAACCAACCGAAGAGGTTCAAATCTTGTGTATTGCACCTTGATATGGTCATGTCCCAAATCATTTTCAACACGATTAACACTTGGCCTACGATGAAGGACAACATAGAGAAAACCTGCATGTGTGAGAATGTCTATATCTACTTAGTTTTCGAAAGATATGTAAGTTGCACCAGCCCGCACTTGGCAAGCGTGGAAGAAGCCTAATACTCTTTGCAATGAAGGAAGGCGCGATCCCAGCAGTGGGACGTGGGACGTAAAAAGGCTGCACGCACATTACATTACTATTACTGTCACCGTTGACTTTTGAACTTAATAAGTAGGATATTCAAAGTTAAAGATCAGCTCTTTACACTGCATACACTAGCACAATAGTATTCTGTCTAATAAAACAAATACTTATTAGGTTCTAGACGTATAGATCATCACCAAAAATTATCACTAATCATAAATCCATCACCAAAACAGCAAAAAAAAACTTCAAAAAACATAAAAAATAGCAAAAACAAAAAGGAATCCAAACACAATATTAGATAAAAGGAATAATCGATCAATAGCGTTAGTCAAACATCGGTATAAGGAATTCCAAAGACTCGGAAACGGTACCGGCCCCCACGGGCGGTCTTTGGTCAATTAATAAATATCCGAACTCTTTTGAGAGGAAGCTACGATGACATATTTAGCTATCTCAATTCTAAGATACATATAATATTAAAATAAAAAATAAATATATATAAAAGGACTCGACCATTCCACAAATCGATATTTCTATCAGCAGTCGAGTTTGTACTAAAATAATCATCAAAGTGTTTTTTATTGGTGAGACGACAAATGTCAAATAGCGTGCTTGAACAGCAAACACGTGTTTCGTACTGTGCGACAATATTTAGTGTTGCTTTATTAGTCGGGTAGAAAATTAAAACAACCGTTTCAAAGCAGATGTTATAAGCAATAGACTCACCGACGGACTAATTGGAGACAAATTCGAAATAATAAGGAGAATAATTAACTGGTACGATCCTTTTAAACTTTTAATATAATGTTATTTATGTATAACTTAGTTAAAAACTTAACTAAGTTTAACTAGTGTAATATACATGAATCATGTTTACCCGACTTCGGCGAAGCCCAAAGAAGGGTTATGTGTTTGACATGTATGTATGTACGTGTGTAAGTGTGTAGTGTGTGTGTGTGTGTGTGTGTGTGTGTGTGTGTGTGTGTGTGTGTGTGTGTGTGTGTGTGTGTGTGTGTGTGTGTGTGTGTGTGTGTGTGTTTATATGTATGTTTTCATCGTTTTTTTTATAATCGAACTTACTTTCACTTTAACAATCTTTCTAGTAATTTAGCACCTGAGAATGGTAATTATGAAGATATTATTTACATCAGCCCCTATTTAGTCTAACACCTTATAAAAACCAATAAATCCTTGGAAAACATCTCCGAGTATAAATTAAATGCAAAATTTAAAAAGAAAATTTATTTTTTAGTACCGTAATAAAATGTAAAAGCAAAAAATTTAGAATTTCAAAGTATCCATATATATTCAGAGCAAATAATACATAATACTAAAATAAAATTAAGCAAGCTATATGATTTATTTGAACAAACTTATAATTAAAAGAATATTCGTTACACGTTGTAGTTAAAGAAATTTTTTAAACATTATAAAATATACGTACACTACGTGTTTTTACCAAACAAGCGGTAGATACGTACGTTGTGATTTGCATTTGAAATGATATTTAATAATTAAGATCGTCTTTTCTCACATACGGTAATATTAATTACAGATCTAATCTAAGCAATTAGCATTTATAACGAGAGTATTGGCCTAGTGGGATCATATGCAGGTGGTAACGGGTTTGATATGCGAATGGGTTCATTAAGAACTGCGACATATAAGACTTTAGGTCAATTTCGTAAAGTACATACCTATACCCAACATTACTTCTACAATATTCCTTTTTTTTAAATATGTTGGGACATTAAACACACAGCACCCTCTATTTCCATGGTAAGCTACGAGGCTTGTGTTATGGATACCAGATAATTGATACACTACACATATATCATTAAATAGACTCGAACCCGCGACCGCTGGCACAGCAAGTAGGATCACTACTTTACTATTATCCTTTAATACAATTATTTCATTAAATAACAAATTACCAACCAAAAAATCATTTAATAACAAACATCCCACCAATGGGAATTAGGAATATTTTTTAGAAAAAACCATTTTTGAGTAATAGCCTATACATTTAAAAAAATTCGATTCATAAACGAACAAAAACATCGCGTAGCATATCAAAAGCAGTACTACCTCTTTTAGAAATCGGTAAATTTAAATATACACCACAACACACCATCGTGAACTAACCTAGGGCTATCTAAACAAATATAGTATGAAAACAACTAAACAAAACATATAATTAAGAATACGCAATTCTGCGTAAACGAGGCCTCGAGCTGAATAATAAATCTGGACGAAAAACAACTAAGAGACACGTCCAACTCTCATTAACTTTACTTAACAAGTATCCACGTATAGACGGTGCTAATAAAACTCAAATCGAATTGGCTTCGACGGTTGATTTACAACGAATCAATAAAAGAGAAGGCTATCATTAGGTTTTATTTCTACAATAAAAGTAATGTACTTGTATCCTTGGTTAAATGCTCGAATAAATACCTAAACCAAACTTATATTATAATGGATAGTGATCGTTTTAGATAGCTTAGAAAATGGCCACACTTAATTATTCCTGTGTAATAAAATATAACGCGTACGTAAAAGTATAATTAGATTTTCAACTAAGTACCCTTATATTGCTCACTCTATATCATTGAGTTGAAATACAGGTAAGAATTTTCGTTGTTTTAGCCTTAATAATACGTATTGTCAATATATGATTACCACTTGCTTTACAGTGAAGAAAAACATCGTGAGAAAACCTGCATGTCTGAGAGGATGTAGCAAGTTTTCGAAAGACATTTGAAGTCCGCCAACTCATACTTGGTCAGCGTGGTGGACTAAGGCCTGATCCCCCTTGTATTGAAGGGAAGCCCACGCCCAGCAGTGGGATGTGAAAAAGGGCTGAATACAATACGTAAAGTGAAACTCGGCTGAAGGAATGCCCGCTTAGTATTAAGCAAGCTATTTTCAAAATATTTGTATGTATGTACGTAAGATTCCTACAAATAGAGATGTAAGCTCGTGAGACCCTCAATGCTGTAGGTAACGTCAACATGCACCATCGTAAAACATTTCCATTTCCGACTTACGAAATGTTTATATCAAATTTCATACGAAATTGTCAGTTTCCTTAGGAAAGTACTACTAACAAAAAAAATATCGTGACAATTGGCAGAATTAGCGGTCAAATGACATCTATATATCAAGTGAGAGCGCATAAACAATAGTTGAAATAAAAAAAAGCTCTGAGAGATCGTAAAATAAAACACGGGAAGAGATATGTCAAGATAGTTCGCGGGGGGCTACGGCGCCGGCCTACCAATTAAAAACACACCTTTTGGACACATGCTCGCTCTAACTAACGCCAAAAAAAAATTCGAGGACCGCATCCGTTACCGTTTATCACCTTTTTTTTATAGAATCAGTGCATTTTTTTGTGCGACTGCAAATTTTTAAGTGGCAAGAGCAACTTTCGAGTGTATCAGAATAAGTCATAGATATTTATCTAGTCATCAATTTGTGTATGTTAAACGTTTAAACAAAATAACTCCATGAACAAAGCTTATATGGTCATTTGCACGATACCAAAACTAAAATGATCGTTAAAATGTTTATCTGTCTGTATGATTACATACATTAAACTTTGAAATAGCTGTATTTATTTTAATGATACTTTTACTGGCGTCTCGAGAACTTAGACAAGTTTAAATTTAAATATATGTATTTCCTGATGAAATTTTCTAGGGGATCAAAAGCCCTAACTGTTTGACATAACTATCACTATATATTTTATATTATCGTGTTTTTCTCTATAATAACTAAAAAAGAATCTAAATTATATGTATATCTTAAATTTTGTTTTGTACATTCTCCGTCACTACGAATTCAAAAAATTCAAATTCATAATTCAAAATATTTTATTCAGAATTAAATTATTACAATTTGTTTACTGAACGTCATGAGTCTACTACCAGTTCGGAAAGAAGAAGCCTCAGACCTGAGAAGAACTCGCGAAAGAAACTCAGCGGGACTAATTTTATAAAATAAAGTCTACTTGCCATGTCTGTCTGTCTGTCTAAACGAGAAAACTACTGAACGGATTTTCATACAATTTTCACCAATAGACATAGCCATAAGATTTAGATGTGTGATTCATTAATATTTAGAATAAATTGGCTGAAATAAAATGAAAATAAGGATGGTTATTGAAGTATCGGAAAAATCATATTATATCGTGTAATCCAACAAAGTTATATGAAAACAATGTATTACAGACTTATTCTTCTTAAAAAGGTTTATTAAACTTAATATACGAATAATTACACAAACTTATAAAGATTCCATTTATCTCTTGTATATGGAATTAGTGCATTTTTTGTGCTTGCAAAAGTTTAAGTGTCTATTTAGTTTGTTTGGTGAAACTTTCGAGTGTGTATCAAAATAAGATATGTATATTTATCTAAACATCCATTTGTGTAAGTTCAACGTTTATGATGTAGTAAGAACACGCGACGACCACTTTGCGACAAGCAGATGCTAATACTGTTAAGATGGCAGTTATTTTTAACCTTTCTTCCACCCTACGTTTGAGTCTAAATGTTATCTTAAATAGCTGAAGATTACAGCTTCTGTTTACAGTAGAGTTCATTAGTTTTGTGAGAGAAATGCAAAATCTGTATATATATACATATCCATACTTGATATATTATATATAAATAATAAAGTATTTGTTTGTTTGTCCTTTTTTCACTTCGAAACAGAGTGACGGAATGGCGTGATTTTTTTTTCATTTAAATTTAATTTCATTTTTCAGTTTAATTTTTTTTTAATCCTTACGAATGGATTTTGAAAATTACTATAAAGGTAGGTGTAAATATTTAAAAAAAAATGTTGAATATTTATTTTAAATTGGCAAATATCGATATTGTAAACAGTAGCGGTACATCCTTAGTTTTAAAATACTTTTTCAATTAACTTTCCACTACATAAAAAAAAAACAAAAACGTCAACAACAAAACATGACTGACACATAATAATTTCTTAGAATTACGCAGTGGAACATAATATCTAAGACATTTAAAAATTAACACTGCGCGGTAATCGAACTAAGGACCTCTGAGAAAGATGAAACAGATTATACACATGACTTATTTTAACTACTTTTAATAGTTTGCTGTCTGCTGAACCGAAATCGATGAAATGTGTATTATTGCCTGAAGGGCATGAAAAATGGCGAAAATGGCAAGTTGAAATGAGATATGTCCTACTGATAGATTTCGGTAATGACAGCCAATCTCACTGATACTGCGCAGGAGATGTTATAGTGCACAAGTACTGCACGAGGTGTAACACCGTTAGTATTCCATCTAAGGCTATTACCGAGAATTTCTTGGCAGAAAAACTCATTAACTAAACATGGCCCAAGCCGTGACTCGAATCTAGGACCTCCTCATCTACAGCCGTATACACTAGCTACAAGACCACCGAGGTATTGACTAATATAATTATCTCCGAAATATAAGTACAAAAAAATCTACAACATACCTTTGTCCGTACAAGCTTTGCGTTTTCTTTGCACATTTTAGCTAATGAGTGGTATTCGCCTCGAGCTGCACACAGTATCCACTGTTTTTGCTTTGAGTCCAACGGATCTGACTCCTTGTGCTCCAGCTATTTAAAAGACATAACATATTAGTTTTATAACATTTTATACGTATTTTTTCATAAGAATTTATATATGCCTATTTAAACTAATATTATAATGTTTGTTTGTTTGAACGCGCTAATCTAAAGAATTACTAATAAGATTTGAAAAATTCTTTTTGTATAAGATATCCCGTTTATTGAGGAAAACATCACGAGAAAACCAGACGGCAGATTTTGATGAAATTTAGTATAATGATAGCTGGTTATCCGGGTCAACATATAAAATACTTTTTACTGCGGGAAAATATCTCATCTCTGAGAAATCTATACTAACCGTCATAAATTTGTTTTTTATACGTTCGCCATATTAGATAAAACTATATAGATATTTAAGAATCTAACAACTAAAACCTATACTAATTACGTGTTATATCACACATGAATTGTAAATTATTACACGTTAGCGTGAAAAATATTTAATTGTCACGATTCATATCAACAAGAAATAATCAAAGTCAATCGACAACAACATCCGTTTAAGAGCCTTTAGTTCAAAGACAGCTGTACATTTTGCGCGAAATTATGCAATAATTTGATATGATAGCCGTCGAATTGAAGCCGCACTTACCTGTTTATTAGAACTAAGTTCATTTACTGTCATTCAAAAAAACATTATATAAAGGAGAGATTTTGTAGGTTGCTTCAGATGAGTCATGGCAACGCTGATGTGTAAAGTGTCTTACATATGATATATATCCATACTTATAATATTGTAAATGTGTGTTTGTTTGTTTGTCCTCCTTTCACGTCGAAACATAGTGACGGATTGGCGTGATTTGTGTGGAGATAGTTGGGAGAGCTTGAGAGTGACGTAGGCTACTTTTTACCGCGGGAGATTATCTCATTCTCACGGGAAAACACGTTATAATACAACCCACCACAACTCGTCATATCTATGTATATATATAATATATTTTATATAATATAAATATGTATATATGAATACATTACATGCGTAAGGACCGCCACCCACCACGCCAAAAATCTAACATAAAACAGGGTCATCAACATTGTTCACAACGTTTGTTATCGCGTGTAACTATTTTGTTATTTGGTTTACATAAAATATAAACATCCAATTTAAAACAAAAATTCATAATTATAGCGTGAGGCGATAAAATTAATTCCGTCTGTTCTATTACTGAAAGAAAAGAACAATTTTACACGAATACTAAATGTTCGGTGTTTATTTAGCGCACCAGAAACTTGTTTGAAATATTATTCTATTTGTAATTATTAAATGTTTCAACCGCATGTTTTTGCTTATGCGTACTTAATTCAAGTCTTTATTTATAAAGCTTAGTGTACCTAATATTAAATCTGTTGTTTCTTTATATGTTGTATTGACACGCTTCAGTCAGAAATTGATGTATCGAAATGAATATTATAACGCTGTTTGAGTCTGTATCTATACATGTAATAAAATTGTAACTAAGTCGGATCTTTACATAAATATTTTTTGGAAAATCTTATTGAAATAGACATTATTATCGATACAGAGTCCGAATATATAGTTTTTAGAATTTTTGTCTGTCTGTCTGTTAGCGCATCACGAGAAAACCACTGGACAGATTTTGATGAATTTTGGTATGATGATAGCTAGTTATCCGGGTCAACATATAGGATACTTTTTACCGCGGAAAAATATCTCATTTCTGAGAAAAATAAAAAAAACTGCATTGTAAGAGTGTACTAATATGTATAACCTAAGAATTTGGTTTTCGGTCATCTGAACGCGAGCGGAGCCGCGGGCAATGCTAGTATACTATTCTTTTTTGATTTTTGTTCTTTCATTTTTGAGTGGAGAAAGAAAAACTAACAAACAAATCATCGCATTTACAATATCCGTTAAGACTTCGCTTGCAAAATTAAGAGTGAGGACACTTAAGAGATTCTGGGATGTAAAGATGCGTTCTATGCTTTTATTTTGGATAAGGCTTTATGGGTCGACTTTATCATTAGTATTCATCCAGACTTGTTTAAAGCCAGATCAAAACATCTATTTAATCAATATGAATCGGACTACAAAATAAATTGAATAAATTATTTATTATAAACATAAACACTTTCACTTTTCTTTTTCTTTATATATAAGAAAAAGGTCAGATTACTCACCGATGCTCTGTCTTCTTCGTCGACACTCTGTAACGGAGAATCAACTATCAGTATGGTTTAATTAAATATTTTAACAACATGAAATCACTTAAAGTCGGGCGCTGTTTTAAATTTCATGTACATACAATATATATGTTGTTTACAAATCGTTACAGACTTTTACAAGCTAAGAACAGTAATTATATTCGTATATTAAAATATCTAAAAAATGCATTCATAATAAGTGGGTTTTCCTTCCGGCACTTTTAAAAATAACAAAGTATGTAAGTACATATGTATTTGATTTGATTTTATTAATATTATAGTATGAAATTTTTAACAATTAAAACTAAAATTTTGTCCAAGACGCTGTCACAAAGAAACATGAAATAAACTCAGTACGCTGAAAACAAAAGATTAGGATTATAAATAAAAACAATATTTACATACATAATAAATATCTTAAAGACACATATAAATTAATCGGAACCTAATATTTCAAAATTAATAAATGAGTACTTATATTGTGAAAATAATATTTTGAATTAATGGTCAATAAATTCGAATTCTCCCGTCTTCAGGCTTGCGTTGCGATTGGAAGTAGTATCGTAGGGCTCTAAGGATCTTATTTTGTAAATAGCTAATCAGAATCTTATTTAATATGGGTTAAAGTTAAATTTTCAATGAGAGTTGAATGATATAAGCGCTTTTGGTAATAGGGTACCGGGCGTGCGTTGCTCAGCATGGCCACTTTACCACCTGTCGTTACATATTTATGCCTACACTATTGCCCTCACTGTTAGGGACTTCAATATTGACAAGATAACATCCTTAATGTGATGTGTTTGATTTAATAAGAAGATTAAGTTTGTACGGTGCCGGTTTTTTCTGTTCTGCGATAACGACAATTAACGATCGGAGTAATACCTTAAGTTTTGTTGGCTCAATTGATTCACTTGGAAAGATGTGATGAAAAATTAATAAACATAATATTAGAAGTTTTAATTGAAAATTGAAATTTAGATGCGAACTAAACCTGTAAAAGTGCAGTTATGATTCCTTACAATTATAATTAATTTATATAGGCTGTTAGTCGATAAAGAAATCAGATTGTATACTTGTGGATTTTATGAGCATGCATAAATAAAGATTGCTTCAATATACGGGTACAGGGTTGATTTGTAACATCCATGTAACAGTATATTCTATTCGCCTTCAACCAATAGATACTCGACTTAGACAAGTACAAACAGAAGTAATTATTGCGATTATTAGTTTATCGAACGTAAATGAACGTGAGATTGTGTGATTGAATTGTTCATATAAGTGCTTCGCTATCGTATAGTTGAGATTTGATAAATTATACTTCAACAACGTTTAAACTTACAATATTTGAACAGCTTTACATCTTAATCGATGTTTGAGTATTTATAAGTGTATAATCTTTTAACGATACTCTAGCTATAAATAATAAAATAATTGTAATTCGTAAAACTCTTGAGAAATATTGTATACTAATATTATTTACAGCTAAGAGCTTTAGAATATAATAAAACGATGATAATGTTATAAGGTGAGAATTAGATCTGAATTGTAAACACAATGAAAGGCAGAGTGTCTTAAAATTTACGATAGAAACAAACTTGAATATTGAAAGACGCCAGTGCGTCGCCTAAGGGTCCCGTCGTGCGTGCCTCACCGCAGGACGCCGCTTGTAGGCATTATGGTGGCGACGGCACGGTACGATCGATACATATCATGCCAGCCAGCGTTGCTCGTTATGTGTTTATATATCGATAACATTAAAGCTCCTATTCGATGTTAGAATAACGGATAAATGCTCAACCAAAGCGTCGAAAAAACCTAAACACGTGGTTATATTTTAATAGAAGTCAAAGTTTATAAGCATTATTTAATATTTATATTTATACATACAGATCTATATTTGTCCTGATCTAGTACTGATGAAGGTCGCGTGAAAACCACAATATCACGCGTATTTGCATCAGTGTTCGACCGCGTAGTGTCTTTAAAGTATCACAATGCTAAACATAACATAAATCCTGATTATATCCAACCTAAAATACATATGAAACAATCAATTAAAACTACTTCAACCTAATGGAAGATGTAATGAAAGCCGTTATCATTTTGTTGACGCTGCATAAAAACAAGATAAGCGAGCCATTTGTATCTGAGAAACGTTTAATTCTAACCCGACAGTTAGGTATCTTGCCAATGTAAGTTTACGTAAAAGCAAAGATTAGATCTATCTAAACATACTAAGACTAATTTTCCTACTGGAACATATAAATGTGTAGCGCACATCATAAGTAAAACTTATAATAAAGATATCATATACATTCGAATACATCAAACGTGCACAAACCTACGATAATAACCTTGAAATCTATATGAAAAGAAAGATTTTATTTTATAGTTATATAAATGGAATTAAACCATCCAGAAACTACATACATACATACATACAAAAACAAATCTACGATTGCAAAAAGATTTGAAAAACACCTTATCACATCATCACGCATGTCTGACGAAACATATTTCCAGATCTGTTAGAATTCAATTGTGTTATTATCATTCAATAGAGGCTAATTCTACATCGACAAGCCTCGTTAATTGTGGCAAGTGATTCTCAGAGCCAGCCAGTGGAGAACAATGAAATCGGTCATATTTTCCTGCCAGCCGACCGTGCTTATCTACCATCATGAATATAAAATAGCATGAGTTTGTTCAAAATAAAGGCGACTTGATGTTTTCGCCAACTCCGTGGATATGGAGTGTTAATTAATTAAATAATAGATATTATGTGTTTTTTTTGTTAAAACGATGCTGTAGACGGTGTTATTACATCATTCGTAATTACATATGTTAGTTACACAGTTACATAACACTCTTATACAAATTAATCATTTCATATTGATATATTTACGCGATAATTTACAGGACCACCTCATTGTAAACAGATATTCAATATGTTTTACGTTTGATTTACATTTTATTACTCGCCTGAATTGTTGAAGTAAAAGCTTTTGCTTTAAATGCAAAAAATATAGGTATAAGAACTACATGAAACTTGTAATTAGAACAACAATTTTTTTTCTCTTTCATAGATTTTTAGACAATTATTTACTATGCAAAAAAGTTGAACCACATAAAAAAAAACACAAGATGTTAGTTTATTATACACAAACAAATTTGTGTAATGCGTATTTCTAAAAAGCCAATCAAAAGACATTCATATCAATAAAAAAAACAACTGAGCAGAATAGAATTTTTGGTAAAAACTCTTTAAAAGCTACTTGTAGACGACGAGATTTAATGAGCACCTAACATAAAATGAAACGCAAGATGAGTTGACGGTGGCAATAAAAAGGTAGCGGTAGTCGGTAGCCAGTAAAAACAAATTGAATTTCGCGTTTAACACTCGGTTAGCAGAAGCTTTAAAGCAATACGATTAAGCTAGCAACTTTAACACAATCGTTAAAAGGACCGATTAGATACTAACGAAGTCATCAGGTGGAATATTAATGTTACTACATTTTGTTGGCAGCGTGTGATTTCGTATCACGGTTACGTATGTGGTTGGTATCAAAAACCTCTATTAAGTCTCAAAAATACTCTCTTAGATTTACGCGAATATTTGACATTTTAAATAAAACTATCTTTTCGGATTATTTCGCGGATTTATTTTGATTTTTGGTTCCCGACGTTTCGAATGCTTTACAGCATCCATGGTCACGGGAGAGACTGGTCTCTCCCGTGTTAAATAGTTTTATTTAAAAAGTCTCAAAAAGTTCATTATGAACGGTTTTTTTTAAACTAGTGTGTAATCGAGATTCCTCTCACTTAGGAGCGGCTTTTAAATCTTTTGTAATTTATTTCATTCAAGATGTAAACGATGTAATTCTATTTTATTTCACTTTATTTCATTCAACTGTTACTGCGTATGGATGTAACAAAAACACCTACATTCATTCACTTTTGCACCCTTCATATTAATAAGATCATGTATACATATAAAATTAGACTAAATAACAAAAAAATACTTAGGATATAATAGAAAAAAATTCAATTTTTAAACTGTATATTTGTTGTAAAACTATTTTTTCTAAACGCACTTATAATTTTAGCTTTTATTTAGTCATCAAACATTACATATATGTACATATAAATATCTGTTTAATAATACTGTGCGTCTGTAACATCTTTTATAAAGTTAAAACCCATATTCTTTACTGTTAAATTTTATTTTAGTGCCTATATATAAAAAGATACATTTTAACCTCTTCGTTTTACGCACTCGCCTTTAAAGCTGCGGCTAAATAGCGGTTCTACTTCAAATAGGCATTCAAATTCGAATAAAGCCTATATTACCTAGTATTTATGTAATTAATGATTAAGATATATGTATATTTGATAATCTAACTTTTAATAAAGAATAATATTCACTTTCTTTTACCAGTTCTCTCTAATTATTAGATATCTATCTATACATATAATAAAATTGTAACTAAGTCGAATCTGTACATTAAATATTTTTTGGAAAATCTAATTGAAATAGATATCATTATCGATACAGAGTCCGAATCTGTACTTTTAGAATTTTTGTCTGTCTGTCGGTCTGTGTGTCTGACTGTCGGTCTGTTATCGCATCACGAGAAAACCACTGGACAGATTTTGGTGAAATTTGGTATGATGATAGCTGACTATCCGGGTCAACATATAGGATACTTTTTAATCCGGGAAAATATCTAATTTCTGAGAAAAAGTACAAAAACTGCATTGTAAGAGTATACTAACTTGTAAAACCTAAGAATTTGGTTTTTGGTTATCTGAACGCGGGCGGAGCCGCGGGCAATGCTAGTCTATAATAAATTTCTAGTTATATTTATCCAGGCGATACGCTTTTGTGCTCAATACAAAAGATTGTTTTTTGTGTAAGCTAGTTACCTTTACAATATGATACAAATTATCTCCCATTGAAAGAAAACGTTTGTTTTGTTTGAAGATAACTTAATTAATAA